ACTTTTATTTATTTGATATTAAAATTGATCACTGCCAGTATCTCAAAAGAAGAACCTATTTAAGCCCTTTAACACAGCATTATTAAAGAATAATTATTTTTTTGCGCATGCAATATAAAATTAAATGAACAATAAAGCTTTTATCAATCCATTAAAAAAGTTTTCTTTGAAAAGAACAATGTGTTATATATACTAATTCTTTTACTTTACTTTGCACTTTCATAATCTTCTTTTAATTAATTTTTTTTTTCTATTTTAATTAAGGGTAAATTACGAACACCCCTGAGATAAGTTCAAATTACAAAAAATCATCGTGTTTGGGTAATTACAACTATAAATCTTTTTGCACATTCACCATTACGGTGTCAAATTCAACATAATCTTGTAGATTCCGTGGAATATTCTCTAGTTTGTACCCGTGTTGTGCAAAAATGCAGTTTCTAATGCACCACAATCTGATATTTACAAGCGAAGACACATTTTATGATCATTTTATTTCAAAATGTGGAGCCCGAATGGGATAAAACGGGTACAAACTGGAGAATATTCCACGTAATATAGAAGATTCCACTAAATCTGATATCGTAAGTATGAACGTGTAAAAAGATTCATAATTAAGGGATAATTGTAATTATCTAAACGGTAGAGATTTTTTCGTAATTTAACATTACTTCAGGGGACCGTAATTTACCCTTTAATTAAATATTGTATGGAGATATATACGAATCTTACAAGTAACGAGTAGTGGTGAAAGTTTTTGAACCAACCGATGCATGTGGTGATTTTTATGTACATCTTGAATTTGGCCAAATCAACTTTACAAGAAAATTATTGTTTCTTAATTATTATTTAATTTTCTCTAGCCTGTGTTTATGGGATTGATAATTTCATAATAATAAAACCTAGATTGTGCCTAATTCAATATTTATTCATAATTTTTTTATTTTTTTATCTTGTTGAACAACTGAACTACCATTATGAAAATCCGATGTTATTAGTTGTTGTTATTATTAATTCATAATGGTTTTTACCATCTTAATGACGACAAAAGTTATTTAAAATTGTTTTTCTTTCTCACTTAATAAAACATTTAGGCTCCGATTGGATCATGAATTTTGAAAATGAGTAAAATAAAAATGCGATGATCCAGGAGAATTTTGGTATATTTTCTATGATGAAAAATATATTAAGTAAAAGTGTGACATTGATTACTCAAAAAAAAAAAAAAAGTGTGACATTGATGATTAGTAAAATTACAGAATCGATGCATGTTATTACACGAAAGTGGAGATTTACCCAATGTACTTATATATATTAGTTGTTGTGGTTCATTCATTACAAAAAAGAAAAAAAGTTGGAAAAAAAAATAGCTATCTCCACTCTCAAAATATCTTATTTCACCAAATTAAATATATTTTTAAATTTATCCATGTTTCCTCTTTCACCTATATTCTGTATATAAATTCAAAAATTGTCCACCATCAAACTAATTATAATATTCACAAAAAAACTCCACCATTTTCCACTAGAACTTTTATCACAAAATCCACCATCTCCATCTAAAGTTGATACGCGTAAAACCTACGTATGAATAACCGCAAGTGTACAGTATCGCGTTTTGCAGAATAGTGAATTCCGGATATCGATCCACAGGGAATTAAGTTCCTAAATCTACCAAGTACCGTAATTATACTATCCTAAACTTTATCTAGACGGGAGAAAAAGATGGGAGATGACATGAAGCCAAAAGGAAACAAAAATAAAAAACAACGGTCCGCCAGAACAAGCGAAGAATTATGACGTGTGATGGCTTCTAGGGTAAAATTCACCAATGTACTATCGATAAAGATCTACAAATCCGAATCTAATGTCAATTCTATATTCGCTAACCTAGACACTAAAATACCCTAACACCCATCTCCAGTGTAGTTAGAGTCTACCCACAGGTCCGACGTCTCCGTTCAGAACCTGATATTAAGAGAGCATTTAGGTCAAGTCCTTAAGGGCTACCCGAGGTGCATCACGTCTCCGTTTCCACAACCCGAGCTATGTTTTCCTAAAATCAAACGAGAAATCCTCTCTCGAGTTCATTCCCATTTAGAATCAATTCAACTGTTGGCCAAACAATCGAAAGCATTTAATATAAGAAAACATAAACAGAATCAATGAACGACAAATAGATCACAGATCTGGAAATCAAAATCAATATATACAAGGTTTCATTTCCCTAAAAGAAAATGCTCAGTTCATTACAAACATAGCATCAAAATGAAGAACACGAGAAATTATAAACTAAACGTAAAGAAAAGCTTATGAAAAACCCGAGTCGAAACCCTCGTCAAAGCTTCCCGCGAAGAACTGGCGATAACCGAAGAGAAAACCGAAGAAGAAGTCGAGAGATAATCGAGAGTTGGTCGAGATTTTTTAAAATGAATAAGAGACCTTCTATTTATAGTAAGAAATCAAAGAAAAATATCTCTTCTCGAATTCTGTGCCCAGATCGCGATCTGGCAGCCTTGGAAACTGCGCACCGCCTTTCCAGATCGCGATACGGAATGGTGGATCGCGATCTGGTTCTTCATCAAAATATGTACTGTGAGAACCCCCAGATCGCGATCCAGGAAGGCTGGATCGCGATCTGGATCTGACCCCAATTTGCTTTCTGTAAGACCCCCAGATCGCGATCTGGTCTTCTGCGCCAACTTCAAACACTGTTTTGACCATTTTCTAGCCCGAATTTGACAATTTTGCATTTCACAAAAGTTGTAGATCTTGAAGTTAGCTTTCTAAGGTCACTTGAATCAGCTCAATCGGAGGTCGTATGCAAAAGTTATGCTTGAAATACGAAACAGTGCCACACCCGCGATAATGCACTTTTGCACGTGTTTGGTTTGATTTTCGGCTTCGCTTCCAAAATCGTTTCGAATTGGCAAAAATAGCTTCTCTTTACCTAAAATATAAATAAAACAAAAACAACATAATATATACAAATAAAGCCGAAAACTCGGACGAACGAAGACCAAAACTCGAAGAATTGATAAGCAAAAATCGTGCAAAACGAACACTTATCAAAAGTGAACGATACCTTCATCAGAGAAAAACACCCGAATATCAAAAGGAGCAGAAATTCACGTTCTTGGAGAAATAAACTAAGAGCGCTTATGTACTAAATTTTTTAAAAAATAGATATTTTTGTTATTATTGTTTTGCGGTGGAATAAAATTTAAAAATAGGTTACATTTTATTCAATACAATCTCCCCGGAAACTGGTTCAAATTGGACAATTATTAGAATCTTGTTTTACCCTTTTAGGTTTCATTGCAAAATAAATAATAAGTTAGAACATATGAGGATTAGCGAATATAAGGGAAGGTGGTTGAATACAAATTTGGAGGGTATTTATGATATTTATATACATTTGGTGGTGAATTGAGATAATTTGAAGGTGGAAATAGCACCACTAAAAAAAAAAAACTTAATTAAATACGACATAAATGTTTGAAGCATTATGGACAGTGAAAACTTGAAAATAATTTAGATTATTGCATATTTCAACTATTGTTATGACGGTTTATTTGATGTTACACCCGGTGAAATACATCGAGTGATTGTTAAATGTTGACCTGCACATAATCACACACACATACCAATATGTACGTATGTTTAATGAGAAGTTATTTCCCCACATCAATATTTAAAAGTACTCGATGTATTTTATCGGTTATAGCATCTCAATGATCTGTTATGACAAGAGAAAGCTTTTCATCTTCCAGCCAAAATACTATTTTCCAAAGATTTGTTTGGCCAAACTGTGGATATTGTTTGATTGATTATTATTTATTTATTTATTTTGTGAAAAATGATTACAAGCTAACAATAATATTCAAAGTTTTGGACTCAATATTATTCAACCACTTCTCCAAAATGGGGACATATTGGAATCTTGTGGTCTTCTAGTCAAAACAATTTTGATAGCAAAGAGTATACAATTTCAAGTGAGTTTGGCAAGAAAACATTAAAAAAAATGTTTGAGGATCAATGTTTGGTAGAACCCAACAAAATTATGTAGATTTAGACTATACTAAATAATTATGGTGATAATATTGGGAACCTTAAAGATATAATCATTTATGTTGTCACTCTAATTTTTTTTTTTTTAAATCCGCAGTCAATCATATAGGTGCAATGGGTAAACATGCACTCTTAAATAGTAGCTTGCAAATCATACGAAAAACGTAAACAATAAGCTAATCATGTGTGACAAGCTCCACCTAACAATCATTAACAATAAAATTCGAATATGGACCAATTGACATATGTTCACTTACTTCCACTGCTAGATCATCCATTGTGGGACCACTCTACACATTATTTGTTACAGTGGAGAGTGGGATAATGCATTAACCAATTGAGAGTCCTTTTTTTTTTGGGCTGTTTTTGCATGAACAAAGAATTTTAATTTTTCTGGACATATTTAAAATTAAAGTTTATAATTTTTATTTTTTTTTTGAATTATGCTTAACGAATTAAGATACGATTAATATCAAATACTAAGAATACAATTGGCTTCTTAAAAAATAATGGAAGTGGCCTACATATTTAAAAAAAAAAAAAACAAAAAAAAGTCATGGTGGAACATAAAAGTCTTGAGTGGCAAACTTATAGATGTAGCATTAACAGAAATTTTAATGTTAAAAGGCATGATCAAGTTAATTAAAGTCCAAAAAGTAAGTCTTATTAAATTAAACACAAATTTAGGAAGTGCTCTAATCATTCCAACCAACTTTAGAAACAAAATTTTAATGTCCTCAAAAGAAATGATATTTGCTTTTTCTCTGTTTTATAATGCCTGCATATTCCTGCCAATCAGTCCTCATGTACCACATTTTAATTTATCCAATATAATATATATATATATAAATCCTCACTCAAAAATTCATAAAAGTTAGCACATATATATATATATAGTTCTATGTTGCACTAAAGAAAGTGAAACTACACACACAAATGGTGAGAGATTGGAAAACAATGCAAAAGGGGCTAGACCAAGCAATCTCAAAGAGCAAATTCGGCCACTTCTTCAAGCTCGAGGCCCGAAAAACCACCTTCACTAGGGAACTACGGGCCGGCACCGCCACTTTCCTCACCATGGCCTACATCATCTCCGTGAACGCAACAATCATAGCCGACTCGGGCGGGCCGTGCTCCGTTTCGGACTGCACGGCCCTACCCGCGAACCAAACCGTCGACCCGACTTGCACGCTCGACCCTAATAACAAAGGCTACCAAAACTGCCTCTCGAAGCTCAAGAGTGACCTCATTGTCGCCACATCCCTCTCGTCAATGATTGGCTCATTTGCGATGGGTTTATTCGCCAATCTCCCGTTCGGCCTGGCACCAGGAATGGGGGCCAACGCGTACCTAGCCTACAACTTAGTGGGCTACCACGGCACGGGGCCCATACCGTACAGGACCGCCATGGCCGTGGTCCTTCTAGAAGGCATTGCGTTTCTTTGCATCGCGATTCTCGGGCTCCGGGCCAAGCTGGCCCGGCTCATACCCAGCTCGATCCGGCTGGCATGCGCAGCCGGTATCGGGCTGTTCATCGCGTTCGTGGGCTTGCAGGCCCACCAGGGTGTTGGCCTGGTGGGCCCCGATCCTGCGACGCTGCTGACGCTGTCAGCGTGCAGGGGCGTGGATCCGACTAGCGGGGAGTGCGTCGGTGGGAAGATGCAAAGCCCGACGTTTTGGCTCGGTTTTGTGGGGTTCATAATAATGTGTTATGGGCTTATGAAGAATATCAAAGGGAGCATGATATATGGGATGCTTTTTGTGACACTAATTTCTTGGATTAGGGGCACTTCCGTCACAATATTCCCACACACCCCACTTGGGGACACAAACTATGAGTATTTCAAGAATGTGGTTGATTTTCACAAAATTGAGTCCACTTTTTGGGCCATAAGTTTCACCGATTTCAATAGGAGCCAAGTGTGGGTTGCACTAGCCACATTGTTATACGTCGACGTGCTAGCCACCACGGGCACGTTGTACACAATGGCGGAAATAGGAGGGCTTGTGAACGAAGAAGGAGGCTTCGAGGGTGAGTACGTGGCATACATGGTGGACGCCGGCTCGACGATTGTGGGGTCCGCCGTGGGGGTGTCTCCGATTGCCACGTATATAGAATCGACGGCCGGGATCAGGGAAGGCGGCAGGACGGGGCTCACGGCGGTGGTCGTCGGCGTGTACTTTGGATTGAGTATTTTCGTGACGCCCATGTTGACGAGCGTGCCGCCATGGGCGGTGGGGCCGTCGCTTGTGATGGTGGGGGTTTTGATGATGAAGGTGGTGAAGGAGATAGATTGGGAGAATGTTCGGGAGGGCGTGCCGGCATTCGTGACTATGGTTTTGATGCCGTTGACGTATTCGATATCGAACGGGATCGTTGGAGGGATCGGTGTGTATGTTGCGCTTGGATTGTGTGATTATGTTGTCGGGTGGATAAAGTGGGTGGTTGAGATGAGGAGGATGGTGGCGAGGGAGCGTAATCAAGTCTCGGCCGCCGCGACCACCGCAACCGCCGCCGCCGCCGTGGAACTTCGTAATGTTGAAATCATCTGATCCGGTGAGGGATTGATTGATTGATTAAACGTAGGATTGTATGCTTAGAGATGCACAAGTGACCGTGACAGATTGTCAAAACAGGGGATTGAAGATTTGACCTTTCAAGGGAATTTGTGCATTTGTATTTTTATTTTGTGTTTTTTTTGCAGAATGTTTATTTATTAGAGATCGATCAAAAGAGTTTTTAACTACTAAGTAGTAAGTACTAATCATCCTATTATGAACGAGTTTACTTTTTCCTTCTATTAAAGTTACTAGTTACTGGCCAGTATTCCAGCATTGCAAAAATGAAGAAAATTTAAATATTGATAATTAAATTGTATTAAAAAAAAAACTAAATTAGACTATATTAAACTAATTAGCTGTGAAACCTAAGTTACCAAAATAACATTAATATGCCTACAAATATGATCGTACAAATTCTAACAGAAAACATAAATTAATTTAAATCGTTCGACTTCCATGTAGTTGCTACCCGTAAGAAATAATTAACATTTCAAAAAAATATTAATCACAAAATAAATTATTTACCAAAAAAGAAAACTATATACAATGTGTATTAGGATTTTGCAAGCCGATTTGTAAATCTAATTTTCTATGAAAATCATTCGAGAAAAAAGACTGAAAAATAAGAGTTGTAATTAATTTTAAAAGTTTTACAAATATGAGGATTTTATAGGTTACCTACCGTTTCTTACTTTTATTTTCAAAAAATAATTACATAGTTATTATATATGAATAATGTTCGAAAACAAGACTTGGAAATTAATGTGAGTTTATTCAAATATATATATATATATATATATATATATATATATATATATATATATATATATATATTGTTATGTGAAAAAATACATATGCATGGTTTATTTAAATACATAGATATTTTCACAATTGCTACAATAAACTTAAAGGGTCCATTAGATATAACCCCCTTAGTCTTACAAATAATAGGGGTAGATCCAAACTCAAATTTGTCATTTTGATAAAACCCAATATTTTTCTAAATTCCATCGGTATCCTCAATCAAAATCCCACAAATCCCGTTACTTTACCTTCTGAAATGATATCAAATCCCTCCCTATTTTCCCGTTAAAACACTATCCCCACAAAACCCACTACCAAATTCTGCAAACCTCCCAAAAAAACTAGAAATATTATACGCTGGCAAAGATAGCACGCTATACGGTGGATCGACGACTTTCTGCACTCCGACCACTCCGGCATTGGTACGTCTTCGCCGCTTGTTGAATTGCCATCACCCATCGATATGTTGATATGTTTTTACTTAATCGACTGTGACGTTGGTTTAATTGCAGATATTTTCTAAATCGCCTACCGAAATCGAGCTCTAAATCTGTGGTGTTGCAACGATTGATGGGCAGAACATCCACCAGAAGTGATAACCCATGTCATTTTTTTTGTTTAACTGCAACGTGGTAGTCATCTTGTCTGTTTTTTTGGATACTCTGGAAATATTTGCGTATCTAAAACACTCAGCAATATGTTGCAGGCGACGAGGTGTCAAAAATGGCATACAACATTATGCTACTAAACGCGGGTAATATGTGATTTCCCATAATTCTACATATCAGAAAGTTATATAATCGATTAAGATATCAATAATCGATTTTGTGTTTTATATAGCGTGATGTTTGACCATAGTATAATTAATCTCATGGGTTTATTCATGTTATACATTGTGATTAGAAATTATGTACGTGATAGTTGGTTAACGTAGTCTGATAGTATATTATAATAGTCTGATAACTTGTTCTGCATTGTTATATAATATTACATGCTGTGATAGTTCGTTATTATAATGAGATAGTATTTTATAAAAATTCTGACGGGGTGATATGCATTGTGATAGCGTGTTACACATTGAGATAGTAGGTTAATATAAAATTTTGTTGTTATGAAGTCACAGTTTCTGTGTATATATATGTGTAGTAATATACCATTAATTTAGTTGGAATTGTTAGTGTCTTAACTGCACTGCAGTTCTAAATATGCATGCTAGTGTATTTATACAGTGTACTGATATGAGCTATTAGTTTATGTGTATGCTGTGCATTTGTATAACTATATTATGTTTGGTTACTGTCATATCAGACATGTATTTACGTATGTAACTTTAATAGTATTCACATGAGGATTTAGATACGTATTATAATCTGTTTGTTCATTTACGTAGTCTAATAATCTGTATGTACATTATCATAATGAACTATGCAAATGTCTGTATCGATATTTGTTGCGTGTTTGTGTGGCTGATACATACACACTTTTACATGATTTACAGCCGAATCAAACATAATGGCACAAAAAGAACTAGATCAAGGCAGCTGGACCCGACAATTCCAATTCAGCCTACACTCAACAATAGACTTCTTTGCAAATGTCAGTCTGCGAAAAGCGCATTACAAATGCCTGAAAAGAACGCCATTCTACCGGCTAATCTTACCGTTTGCCAAGCATGAAATATCCATCTCGCAGGTCACATGGACACAAATAGGCACAGTCCTCATATTAAAAACATACAACAAAACAGACAAAGTGTTCAAGATTGGAGGAAAAGAATTACATGTCACATAGGAAGATTGCAATCTAATATTCGGAATCAAATCAGGTGCAAGAAGCATAAATATTAGCAGAAGCACAAAACCAGAATTTGGTCTAACCAATCGTAAATTTAGAGACGAAGAAAAAATACGATTGGGGATGTTAAAGCCTAAGATGATGGAATACATAGACAGTAGGGATGACGAGGATGTGGTTCGTATCATCATACTTCATGTTCTTGCATCATGTTTTTTTGCAACTTCCGGAGACCAAGTCAGCTGGTGGATGGTACTGCTGTGTGATGAACTCTACAAACTCTCTGATTACAATTGGGCAGGGTACATTGTCGAATTCCTGATGAATATGTGCAGACAACAGAACCATCATTAGTCCGTGGGTGCACAACGCTATTGTTGGTATGTCAGCATAATTGTATATACATTAACTCATACTCAACTCTGCATAATAATATTTTGTTAGTGCACATAATTGTCCTGTAGTTCTAAATATGCATGCTCGTATATTCATTTGAAACATAGTGTACCATTCTCTCCATATAATATATTAATGTAATCTTAATAGTATATTTACATTGTCTTAATAGTATATTAATATCTAACATATAGTCGATTGCTACACTAGTTTGTTTCTTCAGTTCTGGATGTGCGAGAGGATAAATATCATTGAACCAATCGTTGCTGATGCTTTCCCAAGGTTCCAGAAATGGAATCTGAAAACACTGGGGACAACACAGGAGCACAAAGCCATCAGAGACATCCACAACGATGAAGTGAACGAAGCAGCACTTATTCAAACAGAAGAAGAAAATGCGTTCTTCAAGAAGGAATCATCTGCTGTGGAAAGAAGCAGTAAAAGGAAAAGACAATTTAAAAATAAGGAACACAAGAAAGGCAAAACCGATGACATATGCACCAGTTCTGAAACAGGCGACAATACTCAAAGTATCAATGTCCCAGAAAAATTCATGAAGAAATTACGTGAGAAGTCGTCAGAAAATCGTCATATTCCCAAGCTTGCACTTGAGTACGAGACCGAATCCCATATACTGAGAGAGAAGAACAAACATCTTGAATACCTCTTGGCCAAATACGCACCAGCCGCAGAAGTGAGTCATGGGGAGTCGGCCCAACCCAGAGACCAAACTACAAAAGACAAGTTAACTGCCGAAACACTACATTGCGCCGCACTCGAAGAACAGCTGACTGTTATGAAACAATCTTACGAAGACTTAGAAGCAACAACAGCACTGTTGAAGCTACATGTAGAGGCCCTGACCGCTGACAACAATAGCCGCAAACTGTCCAATATAGGGCTTCCAGACTCGAGTGATGTACCTGATACCAAATTGCACGAATTCGCTTCTAAATCAACCACTTCCATGATGACAGACTCGACTTCAAAAAATCCCACAGAAGTCGCTATGCCATCTTTCCGATTGCTATCACAAACGCAGCCTGACCCTAATGAAACAGCAAAAGAGCACGATGATCCTTTACCACTGACGTACGTTGACAAGACTGAGATACAGCTCGTCGATCTATTACTGATGTAACATTGCTGAAAGACATCAATAAGGAGAAGAGTCAGACGATATTCCACCAAAGCGAGTTAATTAAGCAGATGAAACACACAATATCCAGTACAAAAAAGACTAGCAATTGTCATGTCATTTCAGCTGATCAAATGAATGTATCCTTCGAGATTGATGGGGGGCACATGGACTCCAACAACGAAGGCACAATCAATGAAAGTCATGTGGGCACAGTGGACAAATCTGCTGACAAATTAATCTTACCACATGCCAACACAGAACATGACGAAGGCAAGGAAAAAATCCTCCTCATCTCTAAGAGAACACGGTCTAAGCATCTTGCTGTAACACCAACAACTGTTTCCAAGGTTGTAAGGAGGTACAGAAAATTCAAGAACTATCGGAACATGTCAGAGAATAACAGGGCTCTTCTGGACATCACTGTGGAGGTTGCTGCGAACAAGGAATAGTAAGTTTCAACAAAAATACTTTCACCATATTTTGTAATACAATTTAAAAATTTTGCCCTCCACTAACACATTTTATTTACATTCATTTACCCACAGCACAAAAGTATGGACAAGCCCAGATGGCAGGAAATTTGTGTGTGTCAAGGATTTGGTGCAGAGCATTATGCACGGAGAAATCTCCACACTTGTAAGTCTAAAATTATTCATTACTCATGTTTTTTCTGAACTGCACTTATTCAAAACATAAATATACATTAATGGCAATACTTCAACAGACAATTGACGCATATTGCGAGATCTTAATGATAAGACAGTCAGTGACAGCACAATTACGGTCAACGTTTAGCGGCGGACGTAAAAAGAAAACAAAAAAAAATACTAAAAAAATCAACGCCGGAACCAGCAAAAAAACCGGAAGGAAAAAAAAAAAGGTCAACGCCGGAAGCCGGCGAAAAAATCCGAAAGAAAAAAAAATTAAAAAGTCTACGTCGGAATCCGGCGGCAAAAAAATCATTTTGAAAAAAAAAATTGAAAAAAAAAAGTCAAAATTGGTTTTTTTTTTTTTATCAAAATTGGATTTTTTTTGTACAAAATTGATTAAATTGGGGTTACAATTAAGAATAGAGTATAAAGGGTTGGGGGTAATATTGACATATACATGAATG